CTCTGTGTGGATTATTTTTAATTAATTCTTAAAATTAATCCTTCACTATAAAAACAAGACAATTTTCTTCCAGAAAATCTTTAAGAAACCATTGATTTGCTTTCTCTGTATGGATTATTTTTAGTTAATTCTTAAAATTAATCCTTCACTATAAAAACAAGACAATTTTCTTCCAGAAAATCTTTAAGAAAATAAGAAAAACAATACTTAGAAAAAGTATGAATTAGAAGCCAATCTAAAATAGAAAGGGCTGAGTTTTAGTTGTCAATCACTGTGGTTCTAAAGTGGGTTTAGAAAAAAGAAAAGCCAATCGGTACATCTCATGCTCACATATATAGACAGTTAATCAAAACTTTTATTTATTACAATTACTAATTTTCAAAGTCATAAAACAATTCAGCAACAAAAAGGCATTAGAAAATTACGTTTATGTTCTTAGGGTTCATGCAGTTCAGAAAGTTGATTCCACTGAGGAAACAGATTGAGGTACACATTAGCTGGGTCTGGGTCTCTGCTCACTTAGAACTTGACTTCCAGTGATTCCTAAAGTACCTACAACACCCTTCATCTTACAAAAATAGGACTATCTCTATCAGTGATTGACCACATTTTATGTTTCTTCAGCTTTATATCTTTTACCTTATATGGGTCCTTAACTTTTAGAAAGAGCCCGCCAATCATTTCATATTGCAACTAGAATCTGAAGTCGGTAATGGTTAAATGAACTATGTCTGTGCCACATTATCAAACCCATGCAAAGGAAGTAAATAGAAATTGGTAAGTGTGGCTTAGGCAAGAGATTTCCTTCCTCTTTGAGTGTCCCAAGAGTGGTTGAGATATTTCAGGGTGGGGTAGGAGGGCCCAAACTCCCCAAATCCTAAACGAATATTCTCCTTAAGACTGAAAAGATTCTTCATAAGAGGTTTTGTAGTATACAAATATACACATCTGAAGAAGAAATTGAAAATGTAAGCATAATATCAGGTGTTTAAAAAAAAAAACGTCCAAACACAGTTATACAAATTAGATCTGCATATTCACGGTGGGAATCTCAATCTTCCCCTTCGTAGTTTCTACTAGTTTCCTTTATATGAACTTAATTAGAACTTCAAATATTTTTCACTCTGAGTAGATCTTTAGCCTCTCTAAAAGCAGAAGAAATCATACTTTTACCAGGTCCAAGCCAGCATGCTTGCCAGCAGTTGCAGTGAGTCACAGCTGGAATGTCCTGTGGTTAACATTCTGCTCTGAAAACAGAATCAGGAGCAGCAAGGCACCAACTGGTTTCCATGGTAACCTGTATTTGTGTACTTTGAAAAATGACTGTTCCTTTTTGTGTGGTAAATTTACGTGGGAATGAATTACAGAGGTGACGTTAACCATCTGTGTGAATATAAACAAAAAACCTGATTTAATTAAGTGTAAACTATAAAAGTACATAAAACTGGGGATATGGGATTTTCTTCTTTCCTTATTGAGGCATTGTTCTACACTAATTAATTCATTAATTTATTTGACATTACACCTATTTAATGTTTATTTCAATGCATCATTCCCTCCCCTGCAAAGGCAAAAAGAAACTAATTGTCATTCATCAGTGTTTCCCCCAGACCCACTGCCTCCCCCCACCCCCATCTATTCACAATGTGTTATTTAAGACCACTGACTGGCTGGGATTCTGGGGCTCTCCTTCAATGAAGTAATCCCATCCGGAAGGAAGAAAAAAAAATCCCCTCTAAGCTATGTGAAAATGTCACATCTCTTAACCTTGCTGAGCTGGGAGGCAAAAATGTAATATCGTTCATGACCTTGTGTAGAATCAAACTATGCTCCCTCAATGTGTTGCTTCCTAGTGTTTTATAAGATCTATTGAACTTAGGGTGATTATGATTATAGAGAACTCTTATGTTTTGTTGGATAAAGATAAAATAATTTGAGATCAGATCACAAACTACAATCCAAAGTTAGGAATAGGCCTTTTGGGGTGGAAGACAGGAAAGCACTTTCCTGCTTACAATGCCTCTGCTTGGGGACAATATGTTTATTTTTGTGTTCACTAGTTTTGAACTGGACTCTGTACACTAGAATTAATAAAAAAAACTCTGAAACTGAGATAAAGATCCTAGAGTGAAGCAGTGATTTAGGAGCACACAGACTGCGACACTGGCCTCCCGCCCCACTCCACATCATCCCCTGCATTAGAGGGTGGAATCTGAGATCCGAGGGGCAGGGCTTTTGTTCTTGTTCCCTCTTCTCTTTATGTTGTTTTAGTGTTTCTCTGATTCTCCCTTCTCTTCATTATGGCTCTGTCAAATATGCAGAGAATTAGAAACTTGATATTAAATGTACATATTTGAAGCAGCAGTATTTGAGAAAAAGGAAAGTAAAGCAATAAGCATAAAAAAAAATTCATCTTTTTCATTTTTTTAAAAAAAGCTTAGGTTTAGTACTTAAGGGTAAATGATATAATGGACTTCTGAGCTTCTCTTTTAAATTTCTGCTGACCTTCCCCCAAATCTCACAAGCATGTATGCCTGATGAGCAGCCAATTTGAGAACTCAATGAGACAGTCCAAGATTGAAAACTCTGCAATTTGTTATGACCTTGAACAAGGCCCCATCTGGTTCTCCTCTCTACAGAGTAGCCACAAAAGATCCAGACTATTCACTGCCTAAAAGGAGCATACTGAAATTTAGCACTGTATGACCCTAATATTTGTCTATCTATACAAGATTCAAGTAATGGTGGAGATGAAGTCCTATTAAAATATAAAAGCAATTGTGCGGGAACCATTGTGTTTGTCCATTGAAGATGTCTTGGGAACCTGCCCTCACTAGAGCTCTGCTCTAGGGTGTGAGTGAAAGGCCAGAGGTTGTCCGTGCTCTAAGGAAATTCACAATCAGCTGGGAAGACACCAAACATGCCTATACCGAGAATGCAAGGGGATGCGACCATTTCCACAAAAGAAGTGCAAATGAAAAGACAAGGGGTTTCAAAGGAAAACTCATGTAGGCCTGATTATAGGGACTAGGAAGGTTCCATGAAGGTGCTTTGTAAAATTTGGTTATAATGTTTTCCACATTCAGATCAATATGTTTCAAACAATACTCTATATCATAACATTTCAGCAAATAAAAATAACTTGGTCAGTTCGGAATTTATTGAATCCAGATTATACATTCACCCATAGACACGTGCACACACGTACACACACGCTCACACATACTCGTTTATAGTTACTCTCCAAGAGAATAATCAAGGAAGCCTAGGAGTCTATTATCAGATATTTTCTAACTCACTGCCACGGGCACTCATCCAAAGGGTAACTGGAACAAAGTGTTTAAAGTGGACATCAAGGGGATTAGGAGAAAATATAATGGCCTGAGTCATGGGAAGCCAATCCTTTTGAATTGTCATTATCTTTCCCAAGTGAAGAGATATGGTAGAGAGACTTTTTTGATTTGTTTTTATTTTTAATTTGGAGATATGATCTGATGAAATTATTAAATGAGGCAGATAAAGGGTACACAGCAAGATGTATAAGTACCTCAATGGAAAAATGGGCAAAGACCTCAGCAGAAAATTTCCAGGGGAACAAAAATAAATACCCAATAAACATAAAAAACAAAACAAAACAAAAAACCGTTAATCTCAAAGGAATAAAAATAACACAAATAAAGAGAATTATTAAAAAAAA